TGCTAAAAAATGTCTGAAATCTAAAAGGCATTCTGCCCTATTCCCGGTAGATCCAGTCACTCACAACTTCCAGCTACGGAACGTTGAACTATTTACTGTCAACTATGCTAGAACGGAGAAATACAGAAAATCTGCTATTCCCTATATGCAGAGAAAATTAAACTTCTTAAGATATAACCTTATCTTATTCTGTGATAAAACCCATGATATATTCAATTATATTCTTATGAGAAATTAATCACATTATGATATGTATTATGATCTTGATTTATAAATCTTACTTACTTACTTATACTCCCCTATACTCCTCTATACTCCTCCATGGCTTCTCTATACTATCTCCTCTATACTCCTCTATACTCCTCTGTACTCCTCCATGCTCCTCTATACTCCTCTTACTCCTCTATACTCCTCTATACTCTTCCATGCTCCTATATACTCCTCTATACTCCTCTATACTCCTCTATACTTCTCTATACTCCTCAAATACTCCTCAATACTCCTCCTCTGTAGTCCTTTATACACCTCTCTACTCCTCTCTACTCCTTTATATACTCTGTATTCTGTACTCTACCTACCTAAACGTACTCCACCTATAATCTGTATGAACTAGACACCCAAATGGCTGAATAAATATAGAATGTAAAGTATATATCCCACACTGAGCAGGATAATAGCTTTAATACTACATGATTTCAATTATGTTAATCTTAACTGAAAAACTAAACCGCGTCTAGTAAACAGCGCAGTTTATTTCCTATTTACATTTTTGTTTCTATACATCATTTAAAAACTAATTCATTATTAAAGAAAGGTCGCCTTTCTGAATTTATAAATTTTCCGTTTTTTAGATAAAAAATGGTAGAAAACATTAGTATTGCTCTGTTCTTGACAATAATTTTTACAGGCATGAAATCTATGAACATTTTTCTCTGTCTATGAAATGTTTTGTCAATGAAATGTCCTGTCTATGAAAAGTCGTCTATGTAATGTCCAATCCATGAAATGTCTTATCTATGAAATTCCCTGTCCATGAAAAGTCTTCTATCAAATGTCCTGTCTATGAAGTGTCATATCATTTGAAATGTCATGTCCTGTCTATGAAATGTCTATTATGAAGTGCCCTATCTTTGAAATGTCCTGTCTATGAAATGCCCTTTCCATGAAATGTTCCAACACCACTTTATCAATTCCTAGCATTAAAACCTGAAAGAAAAACGAAGTAGCGAATGCATTAACAGAATTAAGAAAGAGTATAGTTTGTGTAGATCTGCAACAACATTGCACTGTACAATATTTAATAATATCTTGATGCATATTTTTTTTGCCATACTTTGATATATAATACAACAACAACTTATTTTGCGCAAATTTTCGCAATCTCGCACGAAAAATTGCATTATGGCGCAGTACTTCACAAAGGCAGGGAAAATGTTGAGAAATTTGGCATTCAGAATTTAGTATAATTTGTGTACGTTTGCTTGCCCACCAGATTAGTAAATGCCAATTTCTTTAGTTAGCTTAATTTTTTATTTTAGGTAAACTCCTAAAGTCAAATTTTATGAACGCATAATTAAGCGAAAATTTCGAAACCAAACTATTTTCCGCAATTTTCTCTGAATTTGCGCGGAATTCCGCGCATTTTGTGCGATCATTTTGAATTTTAAACACAAGGAAAAATTAGCGCGCAACGAATTTGTTTTCCGGTGTCATCCCAGACACCACGATAAATCCTCGAAATATTGTTATTTTAGCTTTTGCAGAACAAAACTAATTATGATATCAAGATTATTATGATTAGTGGGAGGCACTGCACTAAAGCTCATCAACTAGCGACGCAGTTTTTTCTTGAAGACAACATTTCTACATTAATTGTAAAGAGTCATTTATACNAACATGATAGATGAAAGACTTGGATCGTTCAGTGAGCTGAAAAAAACGATCTTTTTTAAAACGATTTAAAATTGCTGGAACAATCTTGATTTCTAAATCGTAAACGTACTGTACAAACATGTTTCCGAAAAATTTGAAGAAAAAAAATAGTTTTTTTTACTGAACGAATTTTTTTTACGATACGATCGGTAAGAAAATAGATGGAAAATTAAAGATAATTTTAAGAACTAAAACTGGAGGAACGAAATAAAAAAGCCGAACGCGCCAATCTTTAGTTACTGTGACAGGTCCTCTATGGTTGTTCTATAAAATGAACCCGGGAGTGTTTGAATCTGGAGAGGAGAGTGGGTTGCCAACCTATCCTCACGATCCAGACCTAGAGCAGACCATAGGTCTAAACCTTGGAGTAGAAATATAATTCGGGGTGCTTCGCGCTATTCCTTTACTAGAGTTTTTTTAATCTAGGAACCATTTTAATGAAAATATTACATGAGTTGTAATACAAGTTTCTGTTTCAAACCAAAGGTAAATAAAACCTGGCCGTTCTAAAAACTTTGCCTTGATTTATTTCAAAAATATGACTAAAATATATTTATGTATATTTATATAAAAATCCATACTCTGAGGTTTACATCTTTATAGATTACATATCCGTATCATTACACAGCAAGGACAAAGAAGGTGGTGCCAAATATATCTTAGATGATGATGATGATAACGTTGCAAATATTATGGATGTTGAAGTCTGAAATTGTTCGAAAATGTTGATCAACTTGTTTATCTGGCTGCTAAATGTAAATGTCAAAAATGATGTTGATGTTCAAGATGATGTTTATCTTAGAGTAGACATTTATGCTAGAGGTAAAGTGGATGTTAGAAGTAAAATCACCCTAAAAAGTATCACCTCAACTCAACTTAACTCATCACAACTAAACTCATCTCAACTCTACTCATCTCAACTCATCGCATCTCATCTTAACTCATCTTATCTCAACTCATCTCAACTCAACTAATCTTATCTCAACTCATCCCATCTCAGCTCATAGCAACTCAACTCAACTCATCTCAGCTTATCTCAGCTCATACCCACTTAACTCGACTCATCTCAGCTCATCTCATCTCAACTCAACTCAACTTATCCCAGCTCATCTCATCTCAACTCATCTCAACTCATTTCATCTCAATATCATCTCAACTCATCGCATCTCATCTCATTTCATCCCATCTCATCTCATTTCAACTCATCTCACCTCAACTCATATCATCTTAACTCATCTCAACTCATCTCGTCTCATCTCATCTCATCTCAACTCATCTCAACTCATCTCAACTCATCTCAATTCATCTTAACTCATCTCATCTCATCTTAACTCATCTCAANATTGTTTAGTTTACCAATGATTCAAATTCTTATAGAACTATATTGTTTAGTTTACCAATGATTCAAATTCTTATAGAACTATATTGTTTAGTTTACCAATGATTCAAATTCTTATAGAACTATATTGTTTAGTTTACCAATGATTCAAATTCTTATAGAACTATATTGTTTAGTTTACCAATGATACACATTTTTATAGAAATATCTTGTTTAGTTTACCAATGATTCAAATTCTTATAGAACTATATTGTTTATTTCACCAATGATACACATTTTTATAGAAATATCTTGTTTAGTTTACCAATGATGCACATTCATATAGAACTATCTTGGTTTGTTTACCAATTATACAAATTCATATATATATATATATATAGAATTACCAATGATACAAATTCATATATAGAACTATATTGTTTAGTTTACCAATGATACAAATTCATATATAGAACTATATTGTTTAGTTTACCAATGATACAAATTCTTATAGAACAATATTGATTTGTTTACCAATGATACAAATTCTTATAGAACTATCTTGTTTAGTTTACCAATGGTACAATTCTTAAAGAACTATTTTGTTTTGTTTACCAATGATACAAATTCTTATAGAACTATATTATTTAGTTTGCCAATGATACAAATTCTTATAGAACTATCTTTTTTTGTTTACCAATGATAAAAATTCATATAGAACTATCTTGTTTTGTTTACCAATGATACAAATTCTTATAGAACTATATTGTTTTGTTTACCAATGATACAAATTCATATATAGAACTATCTTGTTTTGTTTACCAATGATACAAATTCATATATAGAACTATCTTGCATGCTGTGTTTACAAATGATACAAATTCTTATAGAACTATCTTGTTGTATTTACCAATGATACAAATTGTTCTGTGAACCAGTTCCGTAATGCTTTATCCCTCATTAACCATTAAAGTTTTATTTACTATGGTCTAGACTCTAGAGTACGTAAGATATCGCTAAAAAGAAAAGATGAAAGTTTATGATTGATTAGTCTATATATGAGGTCAACCTAAAGTAAAATCTTACATATTTTCAATCATAAGTTCTCCTATTGAAGAGTTATTAAGAAGAATAAAAATGTTTCTAATATTAACGTAAAACGGAATATATTTGCCCAAATCATGCTTGTGGCTTAAATCAAAACTAAAGAAGCTACAAAGTCAAAAATTAGTAAATGGAGCATTTTTACCTTCAACTTGTGATTAGTTTGCGGTTATGTGAATCATACTGACTAAGGAAACAACTGAATTTGACCAAAAAAGAGGGAGAAATATAAAATATCAAAAATACATTTCACCAAAATAAACGAGTGAGAAGAGTTTTTGTGATTATAGAATCTTATGATATTTAAAGCTCAATGATCTTGGAAAAATGCAAAAAAATGTCCACTGAAGCTTTAAAAAATGCACATGTTTAAGGCTACAAAAATGATAAAGTAGTCTGTGACGTGAAATAAAAGATTAAGGCGTTGTGACACTATAAAGTCGACCCAGTCTTTCCTGAAAATTGATGCAACTATTTATAGAATAAAGCTTCTTTATGTTAAAGCTTACTGATATCTTTGCAAGTCACTGAAAACGTGAAACTTCAAATATGAGGAAATTACTTAAATGCTTTAATAAGACAGTATATTGTTTATGAATTGAGCTCCCTCAGTTCAGGGCTCATAAACCACAAGAATTCGGTGAGTTTCACTCCCGCAAAATTGAACCGAACATTGTGCTAATTCCCTCGGCGCTCCGTCCTGAGTTTCTATCCTCCCGACCCCGGGCGTTTGAGTCTCCGGTCTTCAGTTCTACTTGATACATAGAGTAGTTCACAACCATACAGCGGATACACACAACAGACAGTGAGTCTTGATAAAAGTTGAATTTGTACATTATGTTGAACAGTTTTACTGAATGTTGGCGAAAGTTTTTCTTTATGTTACATTATATCTAAGTTGTTTTTTTTCAAATTACAAGTTTACAGGTGAATGAAACAAAGCTGTTAATTGACAACTTTCAAACTTTTCCACGTTTATGTGTGTTAATGCTGTTTAAACCTTGGTATATATCAAAATTGAAATCGAAAGTCGTCTTCACTGTATTGATGTATATTGTATACGACTACGACTGTAGATTATCAAGTCTCAACTTTATTTTGACTCACTGTGTTTATACGTATAGGAAAAGCAACCAGTGTTATGCTTTCATAGATTGTGAATCGATTACAAAAACAGGTGAGTTTTTATATTTTCATAACTTTTTGGCCTTTTTACGCAAACCCTTTCATGTCAGTAGATAAATCGTAATTCAAAAGAAATTAAATTATTTTGTTTTTTTTGTTGTTTTTGTTTTGTTGCATATTGTTAAATACTAGTTTTAAATGTATTGATGGATTCTACAGGTTTTATAAAAACATGCATTTTTGTATATTTAATAGATTTTAATGTTTAACAAAAAATAATTGAACATTTTTCATCCATAATGTTTAGAAGTTTTGATATTGCACCAAAAACGAAATAAAATAACTCTGGCTGATAGATTTCAAATTATTTAAACTTTAAGTAAAATTTAAAATTTAAGTAAAATATCTTAGAATTTCTGTTTCTTAGAAACGAAATTAAAAAGCATTAGTAAATTATCTTAGAATTTTTTTTCCTTAGAAAGAATGTTTGTCCCGAAATGAGACGTTTTTCCGTCTGAATTGTCTTAAAATGTAGCATTTCTGTTTAGAAGGCTCTGTATGAAAAGGAATTGAGTCTTTGACAAAAAATTAAATGATCTAATCCCTATATCTTTTGCATGATTGTGTGAAAGTGAAACTTTAATATTTCAAACTTAGATTATTTGATCCAACAGAAACCAATAATTTGAAATATCTAAGGTCTACATCATTGAGTTCAATTCCTTTAAAAGGATTTTAAGATAATTTTTAAAAGACGTCAGACATAATCACCACTGGACTCCAAAAGGTTTATACTTTTATACTTTGGCATGTCCGATTCACCACGGGACTCCAAAAGGTTTAAGGGTTGTAAATCGAGCATATCCTTCTTTAAAAAGAAGGAAATTGCCACGAAAGTTTCTTTTCTCTAAATACACAAACCTTATTTTGTTACTTTGCTAAAAATAATATAATATCTTTATTTAATCATAATCTGGTTTTTATGCTTACGTGATGATTTTTGATAGAACAGAACTAGCTAGCAGAAATTATTACAAAGTGCTAATTATGATGCATCATAAAATTACTGAGTGATTAGTAAATGAGTTGTTGATGGTTAATAAACAATGTAATTAGTAAAACAGATAATGCCCGTGGCGGGGGGTATAATTGATATATTGTTGTTATGCAACAATGATTTCCTAGTTCCGGAAAGGGTTAATTTCAGCCAAGAAAACTGAAAAAAGAACATGGCTTCGATCAGCTAAATGGTTAAATACNTACTTTGTCGTCTCCAGGTTGTTTAAATGGAATGGAACACACTGTAATTTTATTCAAAAATTGTTAAATTAATCGATGTTTTCTTTAATGGATTAGGTGAAAGCTGCCCAGTTTGATATCGTCAAACATATTCGACAAGATATGATTACAGTAGGACTTGAGAATGCTATCTCTACTGGTAAGATATGATTGATTACAGTAGGACTTGAGAATGCAATCTCTACTGGTAAGATATAATTACAGTAGGACTAGAGAATACAATCTCTACTGAGCTGAAAACTTTAGAATGAAATATCCAGATATCCGATGGATTAGCTTCTCTGGAGTTTAAATTCATGTGGAGAACAAGCAATATTTAAACTGGATATTAAGAAAAAGAGTGGTTTAAGCCTTAATCCTGATATCCACCATTCTAAAGTTTTCAGCTCAGGTCAAGTATCATATCAAGCAAATTAAGCAGGTCAAATAGATCAAGCTAATCAAGCAGGTCCAATATCAGATCAAGCATAATTCTATAAAATTATGTAGATCAATCTATATAGATAATATAGATCAAGTAGATTATGTAAATCATATAGATCAAGCAGATTATGTAGATCTTATAGATCAAGAAGATTATGTAGATTATATTGATCAAGCAGATTATGTAGATTATATTGATCAAGCAGATTATGTAGATTATATTGATCAAACAGATTATTTAGATCATATAGATCAAGCAGATTATGCAGATCATGTAGATCAAATAGATTATGTAAATCATATAGATCAAGAAGATTATGTAGATTATATTGATCAAGCAGATTATGTAGATAATATAGATTAAGCAGATTATATATCATATGGATCAAGCAGATTATGTAGATCACGTGAATCAAACAGATTATGTTATAGATCATATTGATGAAGCAGATTATGTATATCATACAGATCAAATAGATTATGTAGATCTTATAGATCAAGCAGATTATGTAGATCATATAGATCAAGAAGATTATGTAGATTATATTGATCAAGCAAATTATGTAGATCATTTATATCAAGCAGAATATGCAGATCATACAGTTCAAACAGATTATGTAGATCATATAGATCAAACCGATTATGTAGATCATTTTGATCGAGCAGATTGTGAAGATCATATATGGTGTATTTTATTTATTATATTTATTTTGTTCATTGTTCATTATACTATGAATGTTTGAAAATAAGTTATCCAAAATGTTTTATATTTTCGGATCACCCTAGCTACAAGTTGACGACATTGAACCCTGAGATAGATATTGACAAGTTTATATAGATATATAGATCTATATATAAATATATACTATACATGATATTTATGTCAGGTTTATATCCATGTCTATATATCTACAGGGGGTCCAGGGATCAAGTATTGATAACAAACTATGGATTCACAAAGGGAAGGATCAATTAATGAATTAATCAACTCATTGATCTTTGAGTTTTATTCAGTGATTATAATCAGAAACTTTCAATGAGCTTGTATTTAGTGTTTTATGCAAACGACTTTAAAAAAAATACATTTAACACTTATTCAAAGTTAATAACATTTAAAGTATGGCATGGAAATTTTCTCTTTTATTTCCACTTGTGTTATTGAAAGAAATAGAGGAGTAAGATAGGAAACCATATGTTTAGATAATTCCACTCTAAAATCTAACTTTCTCTAGTTATAAAATAATTTTACTAAGATTATTTATTTTAAGATTGACTGTAAATACATTGCTTACGAATTTTCTCTTTTATTTCCAATTGTTATTGAAAGATGAAACCATATGTTTAGATAATTGCACTCTAAAATCTAACTTTCTCTAGGTATAAAATAATTTTACTAAGATTATTTATTTTAAGATTGACTGTAAATAGTAAATACATTGCTTACGAATTCCTACAAAAGAATGCCCGTGAACTTTATATTTATTTAGTTGCATTGCTTAGTGTTACGGTTTGTTGCAGATATACACTTTTTTATCTGTCACATCATCTAACAGCATTTACAAGATTTTAAAAAATAAAGAAGAATAAAATTAACCTTCAAACCATGATATGCAAAGAGTTTCAATTTCAATTATCCCAAAAGCATTGATAGAGGGAAGGATTCCACAGTATCTCGTTTTTTTGCGATATTTCGGTTAAAATGAGGATGCGGATATTTTTTCATTAATGAATAAGCGTTTATGATTAAAATTAAATATAAAAGGCATAGTTTATGATTATTTATGATATTTTCTGGGAATGCATAAATATAGAAGTCATTACGGGGTACGGGGTTATCTGGCAATTAAACAGAGTTTTCATAAAAAAAAATGACTGGAAACAATAAATTGTCGGACTCCCTGCTTTTTCTAAATTTTAAAATTTATGTATGACTACAATTTGTAGTAAATTTCATTCAACGTACAGCTTAACTTGAAATCCATGTTTGAATGATAATAGTATTTAATGTTTAAAAAACTATATATCTGTGAATTTTTGTCGAAAAATTTGATGGGGTAAAACTTTTTTTTTCTGCAAAATTTTTAGGCTTAAAAGTATCTGTAAACTGGCCCCCTAGTAATTAATCTAAGCCGATTCGATCCATCTTTTTTTCTGTTACCTCATGTGGTCCTGATGGATAAAGAAACTAAAATTTGATGATATTTTTTTCTCACATAAAAATGGTTCTTCAGAGGTAATTATCAAAAAAGTTAGTTATTCTTATTTTTGTTTTGTTTTCTACAGAGAAAGAGGGGGGGGGGGGTTGAGTTACTTTTACCCCCTTCTCGCCGGGTAGGTTCGTGTACACTTATTAGCTCTAGTAATTGAATCAGTCACTCACTCCAACATTGTCATGATTAAACAAAACCCTGAGATCAAATATATTATTATTATCATGCAGAGCCACAGATATCATGCTCATCCTATGCACACAGGCAATTATTATTTAAATAGTGACGTGGGATCATTAGAAGTGAAAATATACCTGGGAAAGGGGGCAAATTAGGATTCTTTGCCTCCATTCGTTTGGAAACAAAAATACATAAAAATATGAGAATTTTCTGAACATGAAAATTAATTTCACATAAAAATCATTGTCACTTTTATGCAAAGACACAATTTATAAGGTAGGAAGGGGGAGGGGTTTGGTTTCGGGAGACTTTTTCGATATAATTCCTTTTTGTCGTGTCAATTTGCACATAAAACATTTTATTTTAATTTCTATAAACTGTTCTCCAAGAACCCTGTAATAAACACCTTAAAAGAACATGACCATTGAGCACGGACAAAATGTACATAGTAAAAATGTACATGGTAAAAATGTACATGGTAAAAATGTACATGGTAAAAATGATGAATTATTTCTAGAATTTAATTTTTTTTTATTTTTGATTAAAATACACTTCTATGTTTTTACCCTTTAAGCTTATACAAATTTCGATGTAAAGTTTAATTGTCTATTGTGCTATGAGACCCACCCTGTACAAATCCGCGAATAGTTTCTATTTTGGCAAATTCTTCGCACACACACACACCGCAACATGGTGAAGTAGACAGCATAGGTAGTCAGGGGCGTATGAGGGGGGGGGGCCGGCCCCCCCCCCACGCGTGCTCCCGCGCCTTAGGGATTGCACCCATATATAAAAATATTTTAAAATCAGTGTAAATATATCTTTGATATCATTATTAATAATTATACAATATGTATCGTTTCTATGATATTTTTAAAGAAACGTTTCCATCTCTATTTTTCACCCATTGAAGCTTACACCACAGTATCAAGAGGAATTGTGTGAGATGAGTCCACTTAAGAAAATTACATAAATGATTTATTAACACTTGTAATATGGAAGTGTGTATATGATTGAATAATTTACATAGTTAGATAAGGTATCAATATTTTTTCAAAAAAATTTTTTTTTAGGGGGGGCACATTGTTGCCAAGGGGCGGCACAAAAAGTACACCCCCCCGGGCCCCCAACACAAATGGTCTCATACGCCCCTGTAGATAGTCAGGCAGTTAGGGCAATTCTCAGGAAGGTTCCAGGCTTAACAATTTCTAAGAATAAGTTAATTTATTTTATTTAGCTGCATGAACTATTTCTAATGCAAAGATTGGAGACGAAGAAATTACAAGATGTTTAAATTTATTTTTATGTTTTGCACCGTTACATTTATTTATACTCTTCATGTCAAAAACATGAAAATCGAATGACAAAACGGTTTTCATTTTTCTCATATTAATAATTTTAACGTATTTTCATTTAAGCAAAGGTTGGAAAATACATTTTTGGTGAATTCATATAAATAGGAATCCATCCATCCCGATCTTATCGCATTCATGTCATTTACTTAAGACCTATCACGTAAAAGAAAAAAAGTTTAAAATTGAAGAAAGTTTCGTCCCCAAATATTTGCACGTACAGTTCACAAATACATCTACAAAATAAAGAGTCTAAAATCATTTGTGCGTAGAACAGGTTAAATCTATTTAAGTATTACCTGTTCAGGAATTTAGCAATAAATATCTTAAAATAAAAACAAATTAAAAGAAGAACTGTTTAGGACTTCAGCAGCAATAATGGGACTGTACCTTCTTCTTCTNCACGTTTTTAATCTTCAAATTTAGTATTTTAGCTCGGAAAATTTACAATTGCCATCTGTGCACGGTGCAGCCATTAAATATTTGCAAAAAAAGAAATCTGTCTAATCTGTCTGTCAAGCCGACGTCACGGGACACCGTCTGTCAAACCGACAAAGGGGTTGACAAACATTTTGTAGATTTTTTCAAGATTGAATTTTATTCAGCATTGCTGGATAACTTGAAGAAGGGGGGGGGGAGCACGATGAAAATGGTTATATATTTTTTAATTAGGTCAAAATCTGTAAAAATACTCATCAAATCTAGATTTAAATACAAAATTTAAGAAAAAGAGGAACAATGTTGTAAGCTCGGATTACAAAATCATTTCTACAAATTTTTCATTTCAGATCTTCCCGGATTCTTGAAGCTCCGACCGAGTTTTCTCAAGGTCCGGATTTTGTTTTAGAACCCGGATATCCGGGTTGGGTTCCTCCAAAGTTTAAGAGAGCCCCTGAACCGGCACAGGGCAGATTTTTATACTACAGGTAGAACATAATTGAAAAATGTAAGGTTACTTTTAAAAAGATTGAAATAATGATTTTTTTTCAGGAAAAATCCTAAAGTAGAAAAGTACAGGAGTGCAGTACACGAACTGTACATGAGACCGTACAACTATGTAAGTTACGAAATGGGTGGTTCCTCGCCAGCTCAATTTAGTTACGAGTACCATTCTCCTTCCTACTCTTCATCCTATCCGGATACAGAGCCGTCCTTTTCGTCCGAACCTGATCAAACCTACTCCAAGCCCCAACCTGAACCTAGAGATTTATATCCTTCACACGAGTACCCTGAACCCTACTCTCCCACTCCAGACTACTACCAACCCACTCCTTACCAAGCATCGTACCCGGAGCAAAGAACCTTCTCCGTGTTCCAGCCATCCTTCCCCTTTTCAGATCACTTTAAGGATTTTAATTCTCACTTTCCATCCCCCAACACCCCTTCTAACCATTCACCTTCTCTTCCTGTTTTTCATCCTTCTCCTGGTTCTCTTTCTCCTCAAACCTCCTATCCTCCTCCTTCTCCTGGTTCTCCATCTCCTCAAACCTCCTATCCTCCTCCTTCTCCTCAAACCTCCTATCCTCTTCCTATTCCTGGTTCTCCTACTCCTCACACCTCCTATCCTCTTCCTTCTCCTGGTTCTCCTACTCTTCAACCCTCCTATCCTAATCCTGAAGTGAGTTGTTTAATCCCTTCCATTATCCAGTTTTAATTCCCGTCCTTAATCAAGAACTAATCCTATCCTACTGTAAAGTATAGTTCCTGAACATACGCTCTGTAATAGATACGTAAACCAGCCTTTATTCTTAAAGGGGAACTTTGCAATCTTTGAAGTTTGCCCGGCGCTCAAGTATTAAAAAACTTACGTAACATCGAAATCACTAATCACACAAAAAAGTTTTACACATGATTGGGGTTAAACGAAATTATTAACTTTTTAAGAATACAAAATAAAATTAAATTTGGCGATAATTTTTAAATGGTTCAGAAAAAAAAAACATTACTTTTACCGACTAAGAAAATATGAACGACCCCTTTAATGACATGATATAGACCATAAAAACATTGAAGTTCAATAAAAGTAAAGATATGTAGATTTCAAGATTTTTAGGGACCTATCTTAGACCCTGTATAATATAGATTTTCTTGTCAATGATGAAAAAGGACCTCAATTCCCAACAGAAACCAGTTTTTCTTAAACAATAACATTCCTTAATTAATGTTAAAGAACCAACGGCAGTTTTTGTAATAAGTTCTGCTGAAGAGACAATGTTGTGTTAATTAACTATTTATAACACTGTTATTTTGGTTCGCAGTGTTGTAAAGTTTTTGGAAAAGCTCGGGACAAAATTAAATCTAAAAGGGCTTGAACCTTCTCGATAAAGAGAAAATTTCTGTCCAAAAACTTTATAGCACGTTGTGCCAAAATAATAGTGTTATAGGTAATTTTATGAAACGTTTGTGCACTTGTCTTATTTCAACGGCTGTTTCTAGATCAAATAAGCTTTGAAACAAAGCAGAAGTCAAAACATAAAGTTGATTTTGATTTTATTTTCATTTCAATTGAAAAAAATGTTTTGGAAATATCCTACATTTTTGGGAGAAAATCCGGGAACCAATCAAAACTTTATAGCACACGTGCTATAAAGTACAGCTAATTTCACATTATAGAACGATGGCTACTTTATAGCACGGTTCTATAATGTACAGCTAATTTAACTTAATAGCACGATGATTAGAATGAGTAAGAATGATAAAGTACACAATAGTTTCTTAAAAATAGTTTTGTTGGACCAAAAGAATAATTTTTCTTTATGTGATTCAGGCCCACCTGGACCATCATGCAGTTGCTGTAGTTGACTCTGAAAAGGTTCAAGGAGTTCTCCACTTCTACCAGATCAATGGACCAACATCACCGGTTCTCATTACAGGCTAGTTTTTATCTAGTGGATAAATTATAATATAAAATATATTAAAATGTAATTCATAAAAATAAATATAAAATGAACTAATAAATATGTTAAACTAATTAGCGAAGATTTAATGAATAAAGGAATATTGAATGAAAAAACGAGTATCGAATAAATTGATAATTTTTGAATGAACGAAAGAAAATTGAATGAAAAGTGAATATTTACTTAAAATGAGTCTATTGAATGAATTGAGGAATTATTACATGGAAAAAATAATATTGATAAACATTGAATAATAAATGAATAATGATTGAGTGAATGAATTGATGAATATTGAATGAATTGATGAATATTGAATGAATTGATGGGCATTGAACGAATTGATGGACATTGAATAATGAATGAATAATGTATGAGTGGATGAAAAATGAATGAGTGAATGAATATTGAATGAATTGAAGAATATTGAATGAATAAATGAATATTGAATGAATTTATGAATTGAATGAATTATGAATTAATGAATATTAAATGAATTGATGAATATTGAATGAATTGATGATTATTGAATCAATTGCATGAATATTGAACGAATTGATGAACATTGAATGGATTGATGAATATTGAATTTGAATCAATTATCAATTGAAGGATAAATGTTGATTAAGACAAGTAAGGATGCATATATTAACGGAAAGATGAATGAATGAATAATGTGCAGGAAATCTGACTGGTTTGGCTCCTGGTCTTCATGGATTCCATATTCATCAACTAGGAGATACTACTCAAGGATGCAAATCAATGGGCGGACACTTCAACCCCTTTCAGGTAGGTGGGGAGGTATGTAGGTAAGTAGGTAGGAGGTAGGTAGGTATAGAAAGGTAGGTAGGTAGGTAGGTGGGTAGGAAGCTAGTTAGGTACTAGATGGGTATAGGTTTGAAGGTAGGTAGGTAAGTAGGTATGTAGGTATGTAGGTATGTAGGTATGTAATGTATGTATGTATGTCACACTGAACTAACCAGAGAGAGAAGCATCCTGCTTTTTTTATTTGAAATCACACGTGTTTTCGTCTATAACTCAACCGTCTTTAAACTTACAGATTTGTTTATTTTATACTTGTTCATTCAAAATGTATATGCCAACAAAAAAATATCTAAGAACAATTATTAAGGGGTCAAATTGTGATCGGAAGTGACAGCTTTCTGAAATATTGACAGAACCGTTAAATCTACGTGATGTATGTATGTATGTATGTAATATGTATGTAGGTAAGTAGGTAAGCAGGAAGGCAGGTATGTGTAGGTAGGTATAGGTACGTAGGTAGGTATAGGTACGTAGACAGGTAGGTAGGTAGGTAGGTAGAGTAGAGTAGAGTAAATACTTAATCTCTGTGTATCCAGGTATCCCACGGAGCTCCAACTGATGTTAGTCGGCACTCAGGAGATCTTGGAAACATTAAGGAAGAACATTTTCAAAGATAAAAAAATTCTGTTTATATAAATTCATCGATCTGTTCGATTTCTCACTTCCTTCTCCTTTCCATTCAGTCCTTTTCCTTCTTTGGGATTTAAAAAATTGAATCTTTGCCTCAAACTCAAATTTTCTAATATCTATATCTTTGGGACCTAATGGTGTAAACCTTTTATATTTGAAACTTAGATTATTTTATCCGACAGAATTAATAGATTGAAATATCAAGGTCTACGACATGGGTTTCAAAGATACAGGGATGAGAAAATCAGAGTTTGTGTCAAAGACTCAATTCCTTTAATCCTTTTTTTTCTTTCATCCTTCATAATTCTTTTCATTTTACCCTTTTCTCTTTTTACCCTTTATTCCTTCAATCTCCTTCCCCTTTCAATCCTCTCCATCTTTCCTTTTTATCTCTGATGCGACCATTCAGCCTTATATTTTCCAGCTCTTATAACCCTTCTCATTACTTATTCTTTCACCATCCTTTCTCTTTTACAACTTCTTATTCTTTTATCTTTTTCCTTCTCTCCTTGTTTGGCTGTCTCATTTTCTATATTTCCGCTTCTTTATTATTATTATTATTATTATTATCATTATTATTAATATTACTGTTATCATTTTTAGCAATATTATATATCATTATTGTTACTCTTTTTTTAGGGAGGGGATACAGGAAGCCAGTTGACCGGAAATGCAGGAGGAAGAGTGGCCTGTGCGGTCATCGCTAGGAGCTCTGACGTCTAAGAGATTGAAAGTGATTGAAACGATAGCTGAGAATCGTCCCGGTGTGTTCTCTACGGTGCTACTGCATGGACCAGAAAAGACATTATTTCAAATCTGCAAAAAATCAAATGCTTCCAATATGTGAATAACATTGTTTTAATAATAATTGATCACTTGAGAAAATTGATCAAGGTTTGAGTTTAATAATTGTACAATTTTTAAGGTTGAAACGGATATTTATGAAATGGTTAATAATTTTATGTAATTAAAAGAATAAATAATGTAAAATTTTAGTTTATTCAGCTATGCTTATAAAAATGCTTTATCAACAGATATATTTTGCCCTGTGTGTGTGTGGATTCTTATGATGAATTGTCAGATGTTTTTTACATTAAATAAAAAATGCATGAATAAATCAACTTTAAATCGGATGAACCGATAGGGTCCAATTTTTTTTTTAGTTTTTCGACCAAATCAAAAACCCCCAGGGAAGGTGTATGGTCAGTCAAAATATGTAAAACCCACATAAAAAGTCGATTTTGTTTTTTAATTTGAAAATCCAAGAATCGTAGGACAAAAAAATCTGCGAAATCGAAAAAGGTCGTAGTTAAATTAAAGGAAGTGGGACGCGAAAAATGGTTTGAATCCGTTTACGGATCTTTAAAAAAACAAGAAGAAATTGAACAAAGCTAATTTACATGTAGTTAGCTATGGGTAGGATGGTTGGAGGGGTAACTAAAGTAATATTGGGTGTGTCGAGAATAATAATATACTCAAATAATACAATATGCTAATATGGTTTGAAATACTAATTAGGAGCTTGAGACACCAAAAATCTAAACCATACAATACACAGATAGGACAGAGAACAGTTTTGAGGGTAAATTTTGTTCCTAAGAAACTTTCAAATCATCTCTGTTTTGCGTACATTGGTTAGGTAAAGGAATTGAGTTTTTTTTTACCGGTCTATTCTAATCGTACTGCATTTACTATGTACCAGCCCGTCTACTAAACCCAGTGTGCAGTGGACCTAGCTTGTTGTTTGCAAATAAAATGTAGGATGGCTATAGACATAGAGATAGGCTTGATACAGATCTAAAGATACGCTAATGACCGACCTAGATATACGATTGTAACAGACCTTGCAATTATACCTGTTACGAACCTAATTCTACGCCAGTTACGGACCTACATATGCGCAATGTCCCAATCTTACAAAAGCGCCATCTTTTCTTGTCCTGTCTATGTAATTTGTGGTTGAAATCTACAGTTAGTAATTAAATACTGGGTTCATGTAATGCATACTGTACAACTGCATTTCTGCATTTTAAGTGTAGGTGGATGATATGAGGGGAGGAGGGGGGGGGGTGCAATTGAATTCCGTATAGCTTTATATGTCATCTCAACATCTTTGCTAACTGCACACAGATAAGGCATCTTAACCGGGAACTGTAAAATTGACGGAATTAGATAATTTCATGTTTAAAGGGGGTGACTGTAGCCTTAACTTGAAGTGACTCTTTATTCAAAGAATGATATATGATTATTTAAAACACAACGCTACTCTTGAAATCATTGTATGAGCGATTATGAGAAAGATATTGTTGTTTTTCGATGAAAAAGTGTTGAAGCGATAATTTCATGCTTTCTTTATAGAGGAGTCGCTATTAATAAATTTAAGTTTAGAAACAGGGGGATAAGATTATTACATGAGTTTATTCTAGACAAAGGTTTAGTAACGTTGTTAATTAGCCACTTACAGGGAGTGACCGGCTATGTAAGGTAGTTGAACTGAGTATGCAGTGTTGTGGAAAGCTTCTTTCGGATTCATTTGAGATATATTGTAAATTGTAAATTGTTGGCCCCTGGAGTAGCTGAGTAAATTGTTGGCCCTTGGAGTAGCTGAGTAAATTGTTGGCCCCTGGAGTAGCTGAGTAAATTGTTGGCCCCTGGAGTAGCTGAGTAAATTGTTGGCCCCTGGAGTAGCTGAGTAAATTGTTGGCTCCTTAAGTAACTGAGTAAATTGTTGGCCCCTGGAGTAGCTGAGTAAATTGTTGGCCCCTGGAGTAGCTGAGTAAATTTTTGGCTCCTGGAATAGCTGAGTAAATTGTTGGCTCCTGGAGTAGCTGAGTAAATTGATGGCCCCTGGAGTAACGGAGTAAATTGTTGGCCCCTGGAGTAGCTGAGTAAATTGTTGGCCCCTGGAGTAGCTGAGTAAATTGTTGGCTCCTGGAGTAGCTGAGTAAATTCTTGGCCCCTGGAGTAGCTGAGTAAATTGTTGGCTCCTGGAGTAGCTGAGTAAATTTTTGGCCCCTGGAGTAGCTGAGTAAATTGTTGGCTCCTGGAGTAGCTGAGTAAATTCTTGGCCCCTGGAGTAGCTGAGTAAATTGTTGGCTCCTGGAGTAGCTGAGTAAATT